ATAGGAATTGAACCCAGGACCCTTCAAGTCCACAGGCCGATGCTCTATCCATCGAGCCAAACTGGCTAGAGCTACATTGAAATATTTTTTAACTTTCCTGGGAGTCAGCTACTTCTGTCACTAAATTATATGCTTAAACTGATAATTCCTGATTTATCATGCTTAGGTATTGTCTATTGATTCTTGCCATGCCAGATGATGATTTGGCTCACTGACCCCACCTGATTATTTCTACCCCCATATTCATGTTTTAATCATTCTATTCCTATTTTAATATTTTTGGTTCTTTTATTAATTTCTGCTATAAATAATGTTCCTAAACTCATATTTTGATTGCTATCTTTTTTAGATTTATTTTAGAGAGAGAGAGAGAGAGAGATTTGTTGTCCCACTCATTTATGCATTCACTGGTTGATTCTTGTATGTGCCCTGACGAGGGATCGAACCCACAACCTTGGCATATCAGGGTGATGTTCTAACCAACTGAGCTACCTGGCCAGGGCCTTGACCATTATCTTTCAATGGTATCTTTTGACTGCCTTGTATATAAATGCATATAACTCTATATTACTGTTCCCTATCTTTACCTCTACCTCTTCTTCCCCTTCCATCTCACAATTTCAATTACTATTTTATTTCTATTATTATTTTTACAAGGCTGATCACAGTTATATTTTCTTGTGTTAACATAATGAAGACTCCTGTTCCTTGTGATTAGATATCCTAATTATAATTTATTCCAATCATTGATTTCAATAGTTGAGAAGCACAAAGAGCAATTGCATTGTAATAGCTATATAAATATTGGTCGTTGAAGAATTAGGAGGTATGTTGTGATTACATTTTCTTCTTTGTGGATCGAGATAATGACCCCTAGGCCACTCAAAGTAAAATTTTCTTATCAGAAATGCCAAATTGATTCTCTTTACACACCATGAATTATTCAAAATCCTGTCGCATTTCATATTCTTTCATAAACTATGAGTAACATATAACTTTTGTATCTTTGATTTTCCTGGAATTTATGATTGCCTTTGTTTTTTTTCAGGTTTGAAAAAGAACATAGCATTACCAAATTCATAATCCTGTCTGACTTCTTACTTTTTCAGTGTCGTTCTTCTTAGAGACATTCTTCTTGGAGTACATTTCCTATTTGGATTTTGCCTGATAGCTTTCCAGCCCTGCTGTACAATGGTCATTGTGGGATTTTTATTTTATTGGAATTCACCTGTAGTTATTGTTCACATTTTCCTCTTTCTTGCTTTTGACCTTTGTCAGGATAAAGTGTGGCCTCAGGTAACTTCTTCAGAAAGGGTGTGTAGAAATAACTTTCTGAGTCTTCGAATGGCCTAAAAATGGCTTTTTTTTTGTCTTCACTCTTGATTAATACTTTGACTACTATTAATTTGTGTTCAAAACAAATTTCCTCAAGTCTTAGAAAGCCTTGCTCTCTTACTTTCTAGCATCCCACATAGCCATGAAAATTTTACAGCAAATTTTTGTTTATTTGTGACCTATTTGTTCTTTCTAGAAGCATTTATCTTTGATGTTTCACAAGGGTGTCTTTTTTTCATGTGCCATTTTTCATTTACCCAGTTAGCCCTTTTAAGTCTAAAAAGTCATGTTTTTCTTCAGCTCAAGGGAGATGTCTTTTATCTCTCCATTTTTTTTTCTGTTCTCTCCTTCTAGAATTCCTGTTAGTTTGATGGTGGACCTCTTGAATTGATCTCCTATATATATACTTTTCCCCATATTTTTATCTCCCTTTTCCCTTTTTCTACGAGATTTTCTTAACCCTTCTGTTTAATACTTTGGATTTCAACAATCATATGTTTACTTTCTAAGAGCTACTTTTTGTTCTTATTGTTTCTTCTTCCTTTTTTTCTTGGCTGAAAACAACAGATTTATTTTTTTAAAGTTCCAGAGACCAGAAGTCTGAAATCAAGGTGTCAGAAGGTCATATTTTCTCTGAAGGCTCCAAGGAAGAATTATCCTTGCCTTCTCCTAGCTTTTCGTAGTTCCCAGCAACTCTTGGCATTCATTGGCTTGTAGCTGCATCACTCCCATCTCTTCCTTTGTCATCACATGGTTGTTTTCCTTCTGCCTCCCTGTGTTTATTGTTTCTTCTTCATGGCCTCATGTTTTTGTCTGATATTGTCTTCAGTCATTCTGAGGATACCAATTAGATTTCATCTTTTAAAAATTTATGTTGCATGTTTTGGTTTTTCTCAGATGTCTGTGGTCCTTTGTTGTCTGTCCATATTAAAATGGGGAATATGCTGAATGAGTGGGATTCTGTGTGCTTGAGAGGAGTTTGTCAACTGGGGAGTTTTGGGGGTAGATGAAGCTGCTCTCAGACGGAGACAAGTGGAAGACTTCCCTCTGGGCATGGTAATTGCTTACCTGATTTTTTTCTGAAGGCACCATTTATCTTTTTCAGAGAAGAGGTCAGCATATTTTTCTTTCCTTTGGGATAAATTGATGGCTGCAGGTGTATTTGCAGGTGCAGGGGATGGAGTGGTGGTATCAGGGGAAAGAGCAAGTCTGGGAGAATGCAGAACTTCCATTGTTCATCCCCTTTCTAGTCCAATCGTGACTCCCATGCACCATCACTCCTGCCGTCTCTGATCAGGATCCTTTCATGAGTTCTAGAATGCAGGTATCACCCCATCCTCCATTTCAGGCATCCACTGCTCTCTATCCGGGCCAAACCTGGCCAGGCAAGGTGGAGAGACAGTCTGGTGTGCAGCAAAATATGCTCTGTCTCACCTCTAGAGCATGCTCTGTGGGTTCTAAGATTGGTGTTTATTTTCATAGCCTACAAACTCAACTCACTGAAGCCAAAGTCATTTTCCTACACAAGAATAGGAGCCTCTGCCCAGCCTGTGTGGTTCAGTGGTTGAGTGTCTACCTTTGAACCAGAGGTCATGGTTCGATTCCTGGTCAGGGCACGTGCCTGGGTTGCAGGCTCGATCCCCAGTAGCAGGTGTGCAGGAGGCAGCTGATCAGTAATTCTGTCATCATTGATGTTTCTCTCTTTCTCTCTCCCTCTCCTTTCCTCTCTGAAATCAATAATATATATATATTTTTTAAAGAAATAGTAGCCTCAGCCCTGAAGGGTTATTATCACATAGACCAGTGGTCGCCAACCTTTCGGACCTCACTGACCACCAGTGGTCCATGGACCACCGGTTGGCGACCGTTGATATACACAATGCCCAAGAGGTCCAATCCAGTGGTGATACTGTCTAATATGTTCCATAAACTCTGGCAGGAAATGTACTAAAATAGCATTTATTAGCATTTGTTAAATCACCTACAAACCAGATCTTTGTGGGGTTTCTCACTTTAAGATATGAATGTGTCAGATAAATTTTTAAAAATACATAATAAAAAATGAATGTGTCCATAGACGTTTCACTTTCTACCTAACATCACAGCTTAGCCACCATCACAGTATTTCTCCAAGGGAAGCGGCAGTGAGGGGAGACTCAAGAGATTATCTCAATTTGTTAAAGAGGTCAGTGGGTGAAACCAAGGCCCCTTTGGTCATGTGCTCCCTCTCCAGTTTTTTTAGCCAGGGTGATTTTTTTCTCCAAACAGGTACCAAAATACAGCTCTTCATGAAGCAACTCTGCTTGGCATGGCAGGAAGGGAGTGTATCGCTGCTTTACTGGGGTAAGTTCCCTGGCCGCTTGGGAGACTTCTGAGGGCCACAGTGCTCCCCCTGCTGACCTGGGGTGATTCAGAGGGCCCTGGTGCCTGAATGTATAGTTAATCCAGTCAATCGGGGCCACCACTCACCATGGCTTCTGGTACTAGAGCTTTTTGTTAATATATTTTATTGATTTCAGAGAGGAAGGGAGAGGGAGAGATAGAAACTTCAATGCTGAGAGAGAATCATTGATCGGCTGCCTCCTGCATGCCCCCTACTGGGGATCAAGCCCGCAACCCGGGCCTGTGCCCTTGACTGGAATCAACCCCGGAACCCTTCAGTCTGCAGGCCAGCACTCTATCCACTGAGCCAAACCAGCTAGGGCCATTAGGAACTTTTAAACACGCAATTAAGATGTTGTCCACCTCGTAAACACCTTTAGTTGTAGGACTTTGATGCAATGGGGACCAAGAGCCAGGATTGGCAATTGAACGTCTGAAATCAGGAAGTCCCTCAAAAGGTCTCACCCGTTTAAGAGCCACCCTTGAGGCTGAGGGTCATGGTGGCCTCTTGGGGACAGAATTGGGAAGGTGGGGCCAGGAGGCTCCCGGACTGGCCTCCATGTCAAGGAAGAGCCAGACGCTCAGGTCCAAGTGCCTATGTCCTTCAGTTCACCCCCGTTCCTTTCCCAGATGCAATGCAAGCATCCGAAAGAAGAATATTAGAGGCCACACGCCCCGTGACCTGGCTCTGACAATTGGGGATGACCTCATCACCTCGCTCTTTGCTGCTAAGCTGGGCCTTGATGACTATTAGACGCTAGGGCCTCCACGGAGCTTCACTTAAAGAAACCATCCAGCTCTGGCGGTCCTTTGCTTGTTTCCTTCTGAAATGTGTATTTGAGGTTTGGTAATTGTGGTTAAGATGAACTCAGATGTTTTTGTCTTTTAATTATATGACAGTGGAAGCATGGGTATTTCCTAATGTGATGGTGATGAACTTGATGCATGTCTTATTGCTGCTTGTTTTAGAATTTCTTTTTCAATAGATAATAATTGCACAAAGTTCAAAGCTAAAAAGTATGAAGTGTTGTGTAGTGAAAAATCTGCTTCCCATCCCTGTCCCTCAGCCACCCACTTCCCCTCCTCAGAGGTAGCCAGTGGTAGTATCAACTGTGTCTTTCCAGAAATAGTATAGGACTGTATAAGCCATGTGTGTAGTGTATGCATGTGCAGGTAGAGTAGGCATGAATACAAATATAGATAACACACACATATATTATCAGTGTCTGGTGATATCCCCTCTTGTGAGACAAGTAGTAGTGAACTACACACTGTCCCGTCTTGTTCTTTTGCTTAATGTGTCTTGTAGGTGGTTCCAAATTAGTATATAAAGACTGAGTTTATTTAAAAATGTTTTTCTTTTTTTAATATGTCTTTTATTATTGAAAGCATTACAGATACTCCCATTTCCTCCCCTCCTTTACCTCCCTTCTTCCAGACCCTACTCACCCCCATGTCTTCACTACTCTAGTGCCTGTGTCCATGGGCTATGCCTATAAGTATATAAGGTCTTTGGTTTATCTTTTCTCGTCCCCCCCCAACCCCACATTGAGGTATATCAGTCTATTCCATGTCTCTATGCTTTGGGTCTTATTTTGTTGGTCAATTCATTTTGTTCATTAGATTCCACAAACAAGTGAGATCATGTGATATTTGTCTTTTTCAGATTGGCTTATTAAAAATGTTTTTCTTGTGTTGAACTCGTGGATATTCCTATTGTTATGGCTTGTAATTTGGTGACAAATAAGGTTTAAATAAAGTACTTGCATGAATGCCTAATTTTGACTTATTCCTATTTGTCTTTTTCAGATTGGCTTATTAAAAATGTTTTTTTTTGTGTTGAACTTGTGGATATTCCTATTGTTATGGCTTGTAACTTGGTGACAAATAAGGTTTAAATAAAGTACTTGCGTGAATGCCTAATTTTGACTTATTCCTTTTTCAGAATGTTATTTCAGTCTTTGGTGATTGAATTGTGGAGTCCCTAAATTGTTTCTTTTAATGTACATAACAAGAATATTCATTAATATAAAATAACTAAGCACAGTAAATAACAGACTTTGTTAAGTGGTTGCTATCACTACCTGCACTTTATTTCCTGGAAGCGGTGGCTGTCTATAGGGAGGACAGGCATAGTCCTTGGAATCCAAGCTCCCAGTGGAGTCGGGTGGTGCCAGCACTGTCTTCCCCTGGCACACCCTTGGCAGGCTTTGTTAGGACGCTGTAAGGATAACCAGTGTCTGAAGAGACCCATGGAGTGTGATCCTCTGGTTTGGTGTCTGGGGATGGACTTTGCTTAGCCGGGACCACCTCTCCCAGAGTTCTCTTTCATTATGGATCAGTTAGGGTTGGCTGCAAGGTAAACTGCACAGGGTTCGAGATTTAGAAGGTGGCAGTGAAACAATGGCCATTATTCTTGAAAGCTGGGTTAGGGCACCAGACACTGCTGCAGTTGGTGCTCAGGGTTCCAGGTGGATGGCCTGGCCCCCGGGTCTGAGTGTCCAGTGGTTGGTGGCTCAGTGTCCTCCCTGCATCTGAACCCACTGCCATCTCCTCCCGAGGCCTGGTTGCTGCTTCATGCCTTCGTCCCACGTCCCCACAGGGCTCCCGTGACCTGGAATTTGCCATTCCTTCCTTACCATCAAGGTGAGTGAGTTCCCACGTGTTTATTGGCCAACTGAGTTCCTTATCTGTTTTTTATTGATTTGGAGATGTTCTTTATATGCTATAGAAGCAGAGTATCTTCTAGAGCCCAGAGCAGCGCTATGTAATAGAAATGTAATACAAGCCACATACATGAAAGTAAATTTCCCAGTAGCCAAATTTAGTTTCCACTTACTCCTAAGTTACTAAAATATCAGGAATCAAAACCGTGTTAAGGATTTTTCAGCACCCATTGAAATCAATTTATTTTTTCTCATTAGAAAATTACATTGCTAGTATATGTTTTTGAGTCATACCTCCTCCATTGCTGGGATAAATACAACATATTCTTACTGAATTCCATTCCTGGGTTTCATTTCAATCTGTTTAGAGTTATTATATCTTTTAAATAAATGAAGTTGAGCTATGTTTATTATTGCTTGGAACCAGTGTAATGGTAGGCTCACAATGTGAGTCTCCCTCCCACTCTCTAAAAATCAGTGGACAAAATACCTTTGGATGGACAAACGAACCCATAGGAGACGCTGGTGCCTTTAACCATGGAGCTTGTCCCAGGCTGGGCTCTCTGGAAACAGATGCTGAGACTATTTGTAAATGGAAGAGAATGTGTGTTTAATCGGATCAAATTCCCTGCCCACCAGGGAATTTCTTCTCCAGAGAAGTCTCAGTTCTGCATTTGAAGCCTTTCAACTGGTTGACTCGGGCCCAGCTAGGCCGCCTAGGATGATCTCACTTCCTTAGTCAGTTGATTATGAACTTTACTATTTTTTGTTGTTAATCCTCATCCCAGGATATTTTCCCACTGATTTTTAGAGAGAATGGAAGGGAGGCAAGGAGGGGAAAGAGAGAGAGAGAAACATCGATGTGAAAGAGACACATCGATTGGTTGCCTCCCACATGCTCCCCAAACAGGGCCAGGGATCCATCTGCAACTCAGGTGGGTGCCCTTGACCGGAAATGAACCCAAGACCCTTCAGTCCACGGCCGATGCTCTATCCACTGAGCCAAACCGGCTAGGGCTGTTAACCACTCTTTTGCCCACTACTCTGTTGATAAGTTTGAAAATGGAGCCTGCTCGTGGTAAGCATGGGCCTCACCCTCTGCCATTGCTAAAATAATGAGGGTGGTAAGAACTTGACTGTTCTCAGGCAAAGCTGAATTCCTTCTTCCTCCGCCTCCGGCTCCACCATTAATTTTAAAGCTCCATGTCTAGTAACATTATGCAGATCTCTCTGTGATATGGACTACAGTATTTCCCTCCAGAGTGTATTTTATTTTGGCTGAAGGTGTGGGCTACCTTGCAGAATTTATTTTTCTGTAGCCAACCTTGACCTATTTTCATTATGGCTCCAAGGGTTTGAGTTAGTTAGAAAAGTCAGTCCTAGCCCTAGCTGGTTTGGCTCAGTGGATAGAGCGTCGGCTTACAGACTGAAGGGTCTCGGGTTCAATTCCGGTCAAAGGCACATGCCTGAGTTTCGGGCTAGATCTCCAGTAGGGGGTGTGCAGGAGGCAGCCGATCAATGATTCTCTCATCATTGATGTTTCTATCTCTTCCTCTCCCTTCCTTTCTGAAAGGTATTACTCCCACATCCTTGAAATGATCCTTACCTTAAAGGCCACTTATTTTGGGCAAAACCACCAGACGAAACACAATGGAGGAGGTATGATTAACAATCTTTAAACATGGTTGAATATCTTTAGCCTTGTAATTGGAGAACTACTGAGAGTGTATGGCTTAAGGGACCTTAGACAAGTCTAAGATGGAGTGCTGAGGAGCACGACTGTAAGTTCTAAATCCTCGTATTACACAACTAATTTTGGAGTGTGGCTTTAAGAGTCTTATGTTATTGGAGGGCCGAGCACAGAACATGGTTAAAGACCATTATATTGTTAGAGTGCCAGTAAGGAGGTACAGTTAAGGGTGGTCTCAGATGGGTGTGATTGGAGACCCCAGGCTGTGACACTAAGGAATTGTTTGGTCAAAATGGAAAGACCCCCTGGGATTGGAGTGCTGGGGACAGTGTATTATTAAGGAGGCTCCATAATGGGAGAAGTAGGGACGAAAGCCTGACAAAAAGCAAGAAAGGTGGTTAGGAGATGGTTTAGCAAAGACAACAATAGACATTTGAAAGCTAAGAGGAGAGATGCCAGAAGGGGAGCTGTCACAGCAGCCAAGGGAAGAGGCAGCTCCAGGCGCAGGTGGGCTCCAGAGGAAGCCATATTCTCTGGAAGAAACCTGGAAGGTTTCCTCCCCTCACGTGAGATCTCTGAATACAGTTCCTAAATTGTCTCCCAATGTAAGGGACTAGACTTTCTAATAAATATACTAGTGACTCAGTTCTTAGGTCTTCCAAGGAATTGAATTCTTGCAGAACAGTGGACTTAGGAATTCAAGATTATCTGTACCACTCCTGATTCCCTATTTTTATAGATGAGTAAATGAGGTACAAGGCTAAGGTAAGAGAGTTGTAAAGAAGCAACGTTTATTAGAATAGAAGGCCACAAAACATGAAGACTTAGTGTGAAGAAAGTAAATGAAGCCAAATGTCCTTTGACCACTTATGGAATGCATTTTTCTATCCCATTTCATCAAAGTGTAAAAATGTTGAGTATTTAGTCCTCACCAGCACTTTCACTCTTAAAGAGAGTGTAACAGGTCGGAAGATTGCTCAATAGGTCTGTCAGTCTGGAGTGGCAGCTTGTGGTGGAGAGATTTCATTCTCCTGTGTCTGTTGAGGTGAGCCTCGCCCACGTCTTGCACACCTAAGGCTTCTCCTCCTGGTGTGTCATCTGATGTAAGATGAGGTATGACTTTTGGATAAAGCCTTGGCCACATACTCTGCATACACAGGGCTTCTCTTTTGAATGTACCCATTTATGGGTGATTAAAGCTGACTTATTGCTAAAGCCTAGTCCACACTGCTTGCACATGTAAGGCTTCTCCCTCGAGTGCTTCCTCTTGTGCCTGATGAGACCTGCCTGGTGACTAAAGCCCCGCCCACACTCTCTGCACACATATGGCTTTTCCCCTGAGTGTGTCCTCTGGTGTGCAATGAGGTTTGACTTCTGGCTGAAGCCTCGCCCGCACTCCTCACACACCATGGGCTTTTCCCCTGAGTGTGTCCTCTGGTGTCTGATGAGATTTGATTGCTGGCTGAAGCCTCGCCCACAATCCTTGCACACGATGGGCTTATCCCCTGAATGTATGTTCTGGTGTCTGTTGAGGTGTGACTTCAGGCTAAAGCCTCGCCCACAAACGCCACACACATAAGGCTTCTCCCCGGTGTGCGTCCGCCTATGTGAGATGAGGGTTGAATTCTGGCTAAAGCTGTGCCCACACACTCCACACACATAAGGCTTTTCCTTTGAGTGTGTCCTCTGGTGGTTGACAAGGGTCGTCCTCTGCCTAAAGCATCGCCCACATTCCTTGCAGGCATAAGGTTTCTCCCCTGAGTGCGTCCTCTGGTGGGAGATGAGGTTTGACCTATCACTGAAGCCTAGTCCGCAATCACTGCACACGATGGTCTTCTCCTCTAAGTGTGTCCTCTGGTGTCTAACGACAGCTGACTTCTGGCTAAAGCCTTTCCCACACTCCCGGCACACATAGGGCTTCTCCCCCGAGTGTGTCCTCTGGTGTATGATGAGGTTTGACTTCTGACTAAAGCCTC